CATTTAATTTCAAGTCACTAATCAAGAACGAACGAACAGAACGCTAGAGAAATATATGTCCGCTCCCAATATATGACTTAAAACCACCAAATCAACTCTTGTTTCTATAATTATCTATTTTAGATAATTGTGATAATTAATTCAGCGTAAACAAGTCTTTTTTTTTAATTTTAGGTCATCCGTTAATAAGATATTATAGAAGTATGACTGTTTTTAATTTGAATTCTTTTTTATTGTTATTGTAGATCACTTTTTAGTTTCAACTTCAATAAAGTATTTTTTTCATTCATTTTCTTTCAGGTCGTGTTTTCTCTTGGTTTTTATAATTTTTATAGGGTAAATAATTTTTTGAGATTGAATAAGATCTAGTATTAGGATGATACAAAAAGTTTATACTATTAGTGATGTAAAATACAGACGTATAAGAGTAACTAAATTTAGTCGTAAACGTCAAACAAAGGTGTATGCAACACTTTTCTTAATCTGATATGATGGATTATGGTCTTCGAACCGGTGAAAAACGTCCCTCGTTTCCTATCGTCGATGCCAGGAATCAAGGCATTTCAGGCCGTGTAAGACATCGTTTCCAACGATCAGAACAATTGATCTAGGTTGCTAACCTTCTAAAATATGAACTGAAGCAATTCATGTAATCATCATTGCGATCAGAATATTGGTGTCAACGGAATTATATAATTCAATGATGATTTTGTAACAGAAACTCAGACATATAGTCTTTTTAATTGGCTTTCAATCGTTAAATTATCACCTGGGAATATACGATATGATATTTCTAACTAAATATCCACCTTTCCATACAATGTAGTTTCAATAAATAATTTTTCTAGTTAGTCTTGTTTTTTTAATAAAATATTTGAATTTTCCTTCGGTGAAAGTCAACAATTCTGAGCTATAGGCACATGTGTCCTTTATTTCTGTCAGTGTCAGCTATCGGATAGATAATTTTGAAGATTATAAAAGAATAATTATGATTCACCCCACGAGAATTTTTAATCCACAAGTAGAAAAAGAAACGCAAAGGTTTCTGTAAGAATATTTATCCAATGAAAGAACTGCGTATGTCTGTTTTTTTACTGACTTCAACTCATTATAACATTGTAATTTCATCAATTAGAGATAGGCAATATAAAAAGAAAAGAGAAATAGATGAATATTTTCATAATGCATCAATTTGATTGTTGGAGGAACAGAATATAGTAAGAGATATAAAGAAACAAAAAAAAGGAGACAATAAAAATGAAAGAGGATTGTTATCGGCATTACTCGTAAATTGTATTCGAAGAGAACGCAAAACTGTGTATGTTAAAGAATGTTATTGGTCGAATAAACAGGTTATAGAAATAATTAGTAACAAATCAATCTATTGCCATGTTAGCTACAACAACATTTTTTTATTATTATTATACAATAACTGCGATCCTAAGATCCTAACAGCATCAGAAACGAGAAAAGAGAGAAAAAAAAATTTAAAAAAAAAAGTGAAATAAAAGGTACACGGAAGATACAAAAAGAAGCAAAGATTCTACATGTAACAATGCAGAGGAAACAAAAAAGGATGATGAGAAAACGACATCCAAGATGAATACAGAGTGCAAAGTAGAAAATAAACATAAGAAAAAAGAAACGAACACACGTACAGAACAGACTGCACATGAACAACATGAACAACATTTAAACAACAGTTAACAGGGACAGAAAAAGACATAGATCACAGGTTTAACAAAAAGAATCAGGAAAGAGTTGACGTAGCTCAATTTCAGACATTTCATAATGTGGTACAGAAGAGTTAGAAAGAACCGACGAAAGCCAAGTTAAAACTTTTTCTAAAATTGATTTGTAAGGGACGAATCTTTTAGATCTTCTCAACCCTATGATGGAGAACTCCTTACCCAACCAACTCTTCCTAAGTTCAGCAAGGTTAGCTTTTTCAAAAATTAGATTACCATCAATCGAACTAGTTAACGCTCTGAGATACCTATTCCAGTATATAGAGCAACGATCTTCCAAGAAAATTTCATCAAGAATATATGAAAAAAAATTTTCATTCCATTCGAGGCAGCATAGAGTACGACGGAGGGAGAAGTAATAAAACCTAGAGAGGTCTTCCTGTTGTTTTCGCGTAAATAGCGGATATACAGGATATAACCAGATGAATAATGGAAGGACATGTGAATAGAACAGAGCTTTATGAAGACTAGGAGACGAGCAACCAAACAATTTAAACGATTTAATAAATGCTATTCTCTTCCTGACTTTACATTCTGTATACTTTAGTAACTTCCCCCATCCAAGTCTAGATGAGATGATATAGCCAAGATATTTGTACTCCTGTTTCCAATGAATACATTTATCATCCCTACTATCAAATGTAATGTTGAAGTCTGGGGATCCTATTGCACGAGCACTAAACATAGCTTCAGTTTTAGTTCTATTTAAGGGCTGATCAGCTAAACAAGAATAATATTCGAGTGAATCAAGAAAAGATTTAATACGTTTTTCAAGATCAATACATTGATTAGTGTATCGTACTCCTAATTGTCCTGCAAGTATAGCTGCGACGTCGTCAGCAAAAAATGACTAGTACATTGAGAAAGAAATTGCCCCATATCACAATGATAACTAACGAATAAAGTGGGAGTTAACACACTACCCTGAGGACCCCCTTTTCCAATTGAAAACCACCTGGATTTATCACTATTTATCTCAATAAAGCACCTTCTATCAAGAAGCCAAGCTTCTATCCATCTTAAATAAGACGGAGGAATACCTAATCTCATTAGTTTGTCCACGCAGCCCTCATGCCATAATTGATCGAAGGTAGAACGAAAATCAATAAAGATGGTACATACAGGAGCACTATTTGCCATAAGACTATATATATCCTCCAGAAATAACAATAAACGAGTTTGGAGACGAAAACCATCTCTGAAACCCGACTGATTATCGGGTAATAGACCTCTTCTAGCTAAAACATCATGAAATCTAGAAAGAAATAACCTTTCACCAACTTTAAGAAAAGAGTCGATAAGAGAAATAGGACGAGTTAATGAAGGAGAACAGATAGACTCTTTTTTGGTTAATAAAACCATTCTAGTATCTTTCCATGCCTTAGACAGAATACCCGTTTGGAAAGAGTGATTAAATAGTTTAAGGAATAAAGACCAATGACATTTATCCAGAAAATTAAACATGAAGTTCGATATGCCATGAGCATCAAGAGATTTCTTTTTACGTTTTGCTTGCACTGTGAATACTAATTCATCTAATGTTACTTCAGGAATAGGTTCATCGACATTGTCATATTCAATAGATGAAGAATCAGTGTATGGATGAGGTTTCACTATATTAGATTTTAAAAAAAAATTTTCATAAAAATCAGCAGCGACTTCGCACATTTCTTTAGTATCTTTAATAATATGTCCTGATGGTGCAATAAAAGCATGTACAGTATAGGACAAAGGTTTAAGATATTTTTTACATTTGGACCAAAACAAGACCGCTGCAGGTGAAGAAGTGTTACGAAGATTAAGTGTTGAAGAAAGTTGAGAAGAAAAAAACCTCTTAAGTTCACTTTTGGCTGCGCTCCTCAAGGAATATAACATATTCTTTAGTTCAATGTTTTTTGTTCTCATTTGACGAAAAGAAAGAGCACGTATATAAGACAAAAACGATTTAAGTTCTACAGGAATGAATGGACGATATTTTTCTAAAGGAAAAACAATTGTACATCGAACAGATAAAAGAAACAGGAATCTGCGATAATCAATGTAAACAACATCAATATTATCGAGGTTCCACATTTCTTCCCAGAAAGAAAAAGCATATTCTGTAAAGAGAGAGAAAACTTTCCAATGAACATTTCTTCCTACTTTTTTATTTTTTAACTTTGTTGGAATAACAGATATGAGGGATGTATGGTCACTGGTTGTATTACCACTATGATTATGAATATCGATACTTAAACCAGCAGCTGAAGCATTATCAATTATTCTATTCGAACGCAAAGAAGTAGACAATTCAGGTGTAAATGCAGCAAGAAAATTAGCATCTGCCCACGTAAGGAAGACCTCTGCTTTTTTAGCATCTTGACCTATATCAACATTAAAATCTCCAAACACAACGCATTTCTTAGATAAAAAAGGAAACAAATCCTCCCATGTTCAGGATTTACTTTCAGATGCATATACTCCAACAATACGTAAGATTTCTTCACCTTTAATATCTAAAACACAAACATTAGGTAATTTACATTTTATACGCGTTACTTGAATATCTAATTTCATCAGGACTAAAACTCCACCATTTTTATTCTCTCCCTTTTGGTAAAAAATTCTAAAGTTATTGAAGATTTTCTCAAAGAAAGAAAGTTCAATATTACCAGTTTCGAGAAGAATAAGAATATCGAAATTGAAAGAAGGTGTAAGAAGAAGGACCACTTGCCATCTTAACTCAAGCCCCCGAACATTGAATGAAAGAACATGAAGTGAAGAATGAAAAGAAATGTCATCTAAAGGAACATACTTCTGCCACAAAGAAAAACAAGAATCAAGAAATAGACTACTTTCCCACTCATTCAGTATCTCTAAGAAAATATTAAAGTCGAACGAAGATAATGAAGCTTTAGCTTTAACAAAAAAATCACTACGCTTACATAGTTTAGAAGAAGAAAAACAAGAAAAAAAAGATTGAGCAAAAGGCGACAGAGTCATTAGCTTGTAAATTGTTTACCTTCAATTGCTTTTTTCATTTGAACCAAATAACGATTAAGTTTACATTTAAGATCCGCATCAAGTGGATTACTCCTCTTGTCACAATTTTGTGCCACAATAAATGAAAATAAATCTTCAAACATAGGAATTAACAATTTACAAAATAAATTTTCATGTCAATCAATATATAAACTTTGTTGTACAACATTTTTCTTTAAATCCATATGGTTATTAGATATATCATTAATTTTTTTAGTAACAATTTCATCATTACAATTTTTTTTCCAATATGAATTGTTCAAATTTATCATGTTTAGCTTCTAGATTAGCAAGATGATTCTTCGCTTCTGATAATTTATTAATTAACTCATCCAGCTTAATCGTCATAGGATTAATTGATAATGTTGAAGATTTAGGTGGTGGAGGAGGTGGAAAATTAGTTGAATTAAAAATAATATTTTTATTCATTAAGTTCGTATCAGGTGTTGAATGATTATTTAGTTGAAGAATTTTACGAGTTAATTCAGTACGAAAAGATTTGACCACCGGACATTTGAGAGAACTAGATTTATGATTTTGACCACAGTGGATACATTTTTCAATTTTAGAACAAATATGATTTTTCATATCATCAACTTATTCACCGCATGTACGACATGTTTCTTTAATCTGAGTGTATTGTTTTTTAAAATGCCCTAACGCCATGCACTTAGAACATATAAGCACATTAGCATGGGCTAAATATTCAATAATATCATAAGAAATATAATTAACAATAATTCTTTTTCTATTTAATAATTCATCTCTGGAAAAGGAAGAAGTTAATTCAAGTTTAACCATCTTGATATCATTTCAAAACTTGTTTTTCATTCGAATTATATTTTTAACGTGAGGATGGTTAGTTTTAATATCATTACAGAATTCATCAAAATCAATACGTAAATCAACATTTTTAATTAATAAACAGAGTTGTGGTGGAATAGCTGGAGCTGAAGGAAAATAATTATTATTATTACCTATAGCTTTTGGCCAATGAGCTTGTTCTAATAAAAAAGAAAAAGAAACAGCATCTTTTACATATATAAGAATATCATATTCATTAGCTGAGAGAACATTAGAAGATGAACCACAGTTAATCACATGAACATCAAATTGATGAATTTTTTTACAATGATCAATTAAATTTTCTTTAACTTGATTACTCTTTACTTTGCCTGAACCAAAACGTAAAACAAATGGTGGAAACGGATACCGTGTTTGAGCAAAACGTGTTGATTCATTAGTAATAACGAAATTATAAGAAGATAAATGATGTTGATTATCATTAATAGAATGTACTTGATTTTGATCAAGTTCCATATCATCAAAATTAAGTACAATTGGATTAACATGACATTCTTTACCATTATTTAATGCTTCAGGGTTATCACGTACAATTTATTTTTGTTTTTTCTTGTTCTTCACAATACGAAAAGCATCATCTGATTCGTCAGCTGAGAGTGGACGACGAACAGAAAGTAAAGATGAATTAATGAAATGTAAATTTGATGTTGACGACGATCGTGGTGTAATAGCATTATTTCCATCATTTTTTTTATTCGAATTAACATGTTCATTTGATGCTTGTAAACGATGTTCATCATCATTGTTGAGATTACAAACTGAATGAGAAGTCATTATAATGGCTTATAATTCAGTATAAAGAGAAAATCAATGTAATTAATTAATTTTCTCGATCACGCACTGAGCGCATGATAAAGATATATATACATATACGAAGGAAAAGAAAAGGGCGTAAATCGACTTATCCGTAGATAGAACGGATCACGAGTGAGCTACAACAACATTGCTAAAAGTATTTTACTTAATTCATTTGTTTAATTAGCGATTGATATTGAGTTTTAGGCAGGTAGTTAAACAGGTTTTGATCGATGAATGGAACAAATTTATACATTTTCACCTGAAATATCTGGTCAATTTAAAACAATTAATGTGCATGCGGTTCAATGAGCTTATTCCGGAAAAAAAAGTTTTTTTTCTATTTTTCAAAATAAATTAATCCAAGATCATTACCCATGTCGTACAGAACGGCTCGTAAACTGCCTTAAACGGCTTGAAAACGGTGAAAAACGACTGTCGTTATGACCGTCGTTTTTTTGCCGTTTTCACACCGTTTTTCGTCGTTTCAAAAAGTGTCCGAAAATTATCATTAGACACTTTCTAATGGGGCAAATTTAAACTAATATCTAAAAATATGGCAATCTATGTCTAATTTTAAAATAAATTTATATCTAATATAGGACGAATTTATATCTAATTAAGAAAATAATATATCTAATTTTAAAATTTATTTATATCTAATTTATCAAGTAACACTACCTAACAACACAAAGTTATATCTAATTAATAATTAAAGTAATAGAAAAATATAAAGATACGATTATCACTTATAACAAAAAAACACAGCAAAAAAAAGAAAACTATTGCACAATTAATGCTTTTTTAGCTTTAGCAACACGGCCTCTTTTTCTTTTTTGTCCCAAAGGAATATTTTTAGCTTCCAATGGGATGCTGCATAATTTGTATCGTGCTGCTAAGCCTATAATGTGTTTACAAATTTAATACTTTAAACAAGCTGGACAAGAACATGTACTTTTTATCCAATTTTCACTTTCATTTAAAAATTCACATTCCCAAAATGATAATTGTTCATCTTTCATAATATCAAAATCACACCAATTAACGTTTTGTTGATTATATAATAGCTTCTTCATAAATTCTTTATTAAAATCTTCATAATTATCTTGAAATGAAGATGATTCAATAAAATGCATTTTTTTTTCCATCATGATTTTTCATTATTATAACTTCTCGTTCTTCTTTTATCCAGTGATAAGTTGATGTCCAAAGTGATAAATTTATAGATGGAGTATTTGCGAAAGATTTTGCATTTTGTGATGTAACTATATCATTAACATTGCGTTCTCTTGATAATTGATGAATAATATCTTTTTCGAGAACTGATAAAAATTCACCAACAGGTAAGCGTTCTCGAAATGTATATAAAGATTTTATTTTACCATTTGTTGCTTCTAATGCATTATTAGAACTTGGATAACCAATAGCAAAGCCTTCGAACCATCCTTTATTTGACATACACCATTCATTTATAAAATAATCAATAAAATTATTAATTAGCGGACATTTCTTTGATTTCCACTTTTTTTGGAATAATTTAATTGCTGCATCAAAAATTGTTTCATTTTTAATAAGTTGCATAAATTCAATATCTTGTCTTAATTCTGTTTTCATTTTTTTATCTTTAATAGCGTTTAATCGAATATCAATATTTTTCGTTGCATGAAACCAACACATAATTCTTTTTTCAATAACATTAAATACATTAATAAAACCATTTGTTATAGCTCCAGATGTATCAGCAACTAATATAATTGGACAATAATTAATATTATATAATTTCTCAACAGTTATTTGAAGACTTTTAAAGATAAACTCGAAATCATCAGTTTGTTCATTGATACATAACGCCATACCAAATGGATGAAAAGCACACTGTTTATCAGTAGTACCTACCATCAATACAGGATAACCCTGCCATATTAATTTATAAGTTGCATATGCACATACATGATTTGAATTTAAACAATTTTTCATTAAATTTTTGGTTGTAACAAATAACCTAAATAATGGATTGGCATCATCATCTTTGATATAATAATTAGCAACAAAACATTCATCCGGATCATTTGGAATAATAGATTTTTCAATACACCAATTTTTAATACAATTTAAACTAATTTGAGCTGGACCATATAATTTCTTGCGAAGAGTTACCAAAAAGTTTGAAATTTGCGATGCCTTTGGTTGTATTATTTTCAATTTATCAAGTTCAGATAAAATAGCTTTTGGTATAGTGTATCCGTTTTGAAATAATTCAATAATAACATTTTTTACTTCAATTGGAATACCAGTTTGTTTGCATTCTCTTGTATGATCATGCCGGATAATAGCTTGAAATAATGTTACTTCAAAGTTGCTTGCATGAAATAATAAATAAATTTTTGCTGGACAATTTGAACCACGTTTAAAGCTGCATTTATAATATTTTTTGGTTCCTTGCTCCGTATCATTAATTTTACAGCAAGTCCATTTGAAATTATTCTATTTAACAGCCTCCTCTTCAGCACATTTGCCATCAGAGAAGACTTTCACTTTTTCATATGATAAGCCGGATGCTCTCATCTTCTTAGCTGAGTTAATAATATCACCATCGTCACCCGTTGCTTCTTCTCTATAACTTGGTACAACAGAGTCTATTGAATCTGTTTCATCATGATCTGATAATGCTTCTGCCATTTTTTTAATGGTATATTTTTTTATATTTTTTAAACTAACTTTTTTCTTATCACTTATCGTCATTCCTAGCTCATATATACTCTTTCAATTAATTGATAAGTACTAATCAATTATAGATTACGTTCAAATTAATTAGATAATTCTATAAATTGATTGATAGTCATTCGTTAAAAGTGATAATATGTTAAATTAAAAGACAGAACATTTTTTAATTCAGACACTTAGTTGATTTAAAAGATGTTTAATTAAAAAATTAGATTAAACAACTTTTTTTAAAGTATTCTTTCACCGGAATAGATACTACTGTATTATGTTAGGAAATACTATATATAATTTAGATATAGATTGCTATAATTTAGATATAGATTGCCATATTTTTAGATATTATGTTAAATGCATGCCCTTTCTAATGATCTATAATTGATTGGTCATTACGTATTTTTAAAAAAATTATATATTTTTTTATTCAGATTCTTTTCACCATCTAGTTCAACTGTAAGTATTGTATTTGAATAAATATATTTATTTTTTATTTTTATTTAGATTTATTTCAATGAAATATTTAGTAGTATTGAATTGAAATAAATAAATATTTTTTTTTTATTTAGATTTATCTTAATGAGATACAAAACAGTAAGTATTTTATTTAAATAAATACATGTATTTTTTTTAATTAGGTATATTTCATCGATATGTTCAATAGTAAGTATTTTGCTTAAATATATTTGTTTTTGTTTAGATTTATCCCAATTAACTATTTAACAGTAAGTATTTTATTTAAATAAATCAATTGATTACTTTTTTATTTAGATTTACCTCATTACTATATTCAATAGTAAGTATTTTGTCTAAATAAGTATATTTTTTTTCATTTGGATTTCTTTCATTGAAGTATTCAACAGTAAGTATTGCACTTAAATAAATATATTTATTTTTTTATTTAGACTTATCTCAATGAAATATATAGTAGTAAGTATTTTAGTTAAATAAATAAATAATATTTGTTGTGTTTACGGAAGGTGAGAAGGGGACGAAATATTGTGCTCCTCTTCGCTGAGGACAGACGGCAAAAGATATATAAAGTCGTAAATGAGGAAAACCGGTGTAAATAAGACACTATAGGACGAGAATACTGCCATAATACTACTCATCGTTGCTCGCCGGAAATGGCCTTAAATGGCGTCGTTTACGTTCCGGGGAAAAACGGCCCTCAATCCAAGCTGACGGAAAACGGTCAAAAAAACGGTGAAAAACGGCGATCGTTTTTCATCGTTTAGGACATTAATAACGTCATTTTTTCACCGTTCTAGGCATTTTAAGACGTCGTTTCAGACGGTCTGAATGATGGACCTGGGATATATGAAAAATCTCCACGTAAACATTCAGTTTTAATGACATTTTATCAAATATGTTACATGAAGATCGTTATGAATGTAAAAGAGCAATTGTTAATACAATTATTTCAATTATTGACGAAAACCCTGAAGCTAAAGAAGCGGATATTTAATTTAATATTAAAAACTTATTTCGTTTTTGCACTATTTGGATTTAATAGGTTTAATTCATTTATGTGAAATTATTGAAGATTGGAAACCTACATCATTATCAACTCGTATACTTCATTTATTAGATCGAGAAAGACCACGTACAAAAAACACCAGCAAAATATATTCGTTATATTTATAATCATATTATTCCTGAAAATGTACTTGTTAGAGCCGATAAGATTAATTTCATTAGTTTATTTCTGAATAGTACTTTTACAACGAACAATGTTTGATCAAGATGATGAAGTTCGTGATCGAGCAACATTTTATTATCAATTACTAAATCAAAATGAGAAAGGACTTTATTCAGCTTATATTCTTAATCGTGAGTAGAATAGTTAAAATAAAATAAAAGGGATTTAATTTCTCTATGAATGTATTTTTATCATCATCTGAACACCTTTTACATCGTTATACAATGGAATCAACAATTAAATCATCTGACATTCGATCTATACCTATTGAAGCAGTATCAGAACTTGTTAAAAGTTCAACGGATATTAATGCGACTCTTCCACAAGATCAAATTGATTTAGAATCACAACGAGAAAATACTTATAATGGCAACATTCTATAAAAGTAGTTATTTATTTTTTAATTTTAATTAATAGAAAAATCATCTACTACTCCTGAATTTGGTCATCACGGTCCAATATTTAAATCTTCACCATCAGTTGATCGTATGATGCTTTATTTGAATTTCCGGAAGCTTGTATCATTTTCTATTGATGGATATAGAGGAGATATAGGAGGTTAAAGAGGTATAGGAGGTATAAGGAGACATAGGAGGTCTAAGGAGGTATAGGAGATATTGATTAATTGGTACAACTGATCCTTCAATAGTGTTTGAATTTAATTATCTATTTATAAAATATATTGTTGCTACTTGCCAAAACTTGCTTTATTGATATTCTATACAGGGCAGTTGAGTCCACACATTTTCGGTTTATAAGCCAAGAAGAAATACAGTTTTGTTACCATTCTAGATCATGTATCGAATCCTGTGCTTATTGGGTATCGCCTTTGCCATAACATTAAATTCAGTTAAGGCTACTTCACTGGACGACTATGTCAATAAACCCGATCCACATTTTGGCTGGAAACGTCTGCGAACATGTGCATTTCCCAAGTACACGCTCTATATACTTAACATGACATCCCAAAAATGGTTCGATGGTACAGTAATCACGAGTAGTAATTTTCAATATGTAGATTAACTCTGCTTGTAGCTTCTTTCTCATCGCAACCTATCTGGTGGCACTACATGATCATCACAGTACCACGCAGACTTAAACGTTCACACATCGCTTTTATGTTCATCGATACAGGAGACAATACGGATCCGTAAGTCTTATCAATTATTAATAGGATCACATTCGTGTATGCTTTCCTATTGTTGAATTAGAATACCTAATAGCAGTTATGTAACAATGTTTGCTGTGAGTACAGGCAGTGTTGCCGTAGAGCTGAGACAGATTCCTAATCAGCCGATTCGATTTATGGTAGGATCTACTATTGAAGTCATTCGAGTTTCAAAAGATTTCATTTGTTTTAGGCTGATCCAACGCAACAGTCTCGTACAGAAGATGCCATAATAGCATGGACTTGGGAGACGTTTATTGAAAAAAATGGTACAAATCCATATATTCTTCTTTATATGCCAATGACAAAAGTATGTAAACTGAATATTTTTCACAAATGTTTCTTTCATTATATATTTCACCATTCTAAGATCTTATTTGACTTTTAATTATGTAATTAAAGGTCTCTTCTGTGTTTAATTCTAAACGTCGAGTCCTATTTGTATATAAAAATAGGTTTTTTTTTAAGTTATTTAATTAAATAATTAA